GGGGGGGGGGGGGGGGGGGGGGGGGGGGGGTTCTTCTCCCGGGTGTTGGCGTGGAAAGGGAATACACAAAGGTGTAATCCTGCCAGAGTGATTTGCGGAGGTGAGTGATTAAAAGTATAGGATTAATTTTTAAGAACTCGAGTGTAAACTTGGAGGCGCAGCGGCTGCTGTTCTGGTGCTGCCGCCAGCAGGCCGTGTTGCAGCAGGTGGTGTCAGTTTGACAACCTGTCTTGACAGGTTTAACTTCCGTCTTGGCAAGCGAGGTGACATGTAAGCCATTATCTTGGGTTTCAATTTACTATGGGAGTGGGGGTGAAAACTAAATTACCTCGTCGTTCTGAAGGTCCCGGCCAAGACACCTGGGCGTGGCTGAGGCTTGGAGAAACTCTTTCATATTCCTCCTCTCCGTCTTCCCCGCCCCCAGTGTACCTGTTCAACAGGAGCACTGGAATAAAGTACATTGCCAATTCCTTGGAGTCCTGAGACTTCTTTGAATAGGAAAGTTTTTAAGTTTCTTATCATAGTGTGGCAATTTTGAATATTACTGTCAGTAGTGGATGAGAGGAAATAAAGTGATTTTTCCCTTAAATGAAGTTCCTAATATGTTGGAAGAAAAGTAGTCTGTAGCATCATCACGCAGAGTTAAGATTGGAACTCCCCCAAATAAATCAATCTATATTAATCAATACAGACACAGCAGTGGTCCTCAAACTTTAGCATGCTCAGAATCATCAGCAGAGCTTTTGAAAAGAAAGATGCTGGACCCCATCGCCCAGAGTTCCTGATTCCGACGTTTTTGACAAATTTTCATTCTTAACACACTCTAAAGCAGGAGTTGGCAAACCACAGCTCATAGGCCAAATCTGTCCTGCTTGCTGTTTTTGTACAGCTCTGTAGTTAAGATAGTTCTTACAAATGAATATTTGCAATCAATTTGGTGATAAAGTCCAAGAACATTGAGCCCCAATTAAGCCAAATACTAATCCAAGGAAAAAAAATTTTTTCATTCTTCTCTTTAGTAGATGTGTATTACAAAAAAAAAAAAAAAATGTACTCAACTATTATTATCGCATTTTGAATTTCATCAAAAAGATTATAGGAATGGGCTTTCTCTCTTGTTATATACTTATCAAATATTCATGATTTTGCCTGTTGGCCTGTAAAACCTAAAATATTTACTATCTGGCCCTTTACTGAAAGGACCCTATTCTGAAGTTCGATCCTCACTTACCCATCCTGTGTTGAAAGCAGATGGTCGGTCGCCAAATACATGGAAATGTCCTGAATTTGAATGTTTTAATAAGAATAATGCAGAAAGCAGCATAATACAGTGGAAGAACATTGAATTTGGGCAGATCGCTAAGGGGATTTGAGGGATTTAAATAACTCATAGGATATTGTGAGGATGCAAGGAAATAATGGACTTGAAAATTATTTTCTAAAAACTGTAAAATTTTCAATGAAAATGGTGATTCCTGTGAAGAATGCCATCTGCCTTACACCATTTTCCAGAAAGCATATGCTTTTAGCATCAAACATATTTGAATCAGGCTTCATCACTTACTAGCTATGGTAGCAGCTTATTTACCTTTCCTGCCCTCAGTTTCCCCATCTGTACAATGAGGGTAACCATACTTGCTCTGTAAAATTGTTAAGATTTGTAATGTTATGTATATTAAATTATAAATATCTCCTAACCTAGTGCCTGGCCTCAATAATTAGCATTGCTATTATTACTAATTATATCTTCTATTTATTGTTTTTGCCTACTGGACATAGAAAATGAATCAAAAAATCTGAGGGTACTTCAAAAAGTTCAGGGAAAAATAGAATTAAAAGATAATATGAATCTTTCATATTATCTTTTTGAAGACTCCTCTCTCATATGATCTCAGGAGATAGTGTTATATTCTAAGGCAGTGATGTTCAGACTTTATTGTTCTACAGACCTCTTTATACTCTTAAAATTATTAAGGACCCAAAAAGCTTTTATTTATGTGGATTATATCTATTAGTATTTACCATATTTGAAATACTCAAAACAGGATTTTAAAAATGTACTTCTTGTGTTTTTGCACAGGTGCAAGGAAAACTTTGGGATTTCAAAATGATATAATGAACAATAGTAAAGTTACAGAGATTACAGCAGATTGAACTGAAAAAAGCATGTTAAGAGCACAGAGGTACTGAAAACAGTCTGTGAAAATTCATATATGTATTCTGTCAACCTACTACCTTAGAAAGGTCTGGAAATTACAAGCACATATTCCATTTGCCTTGGAAGTGATGATGTCATCACACATTACATAGCCTCTGTAAAGCTCACTGTACACTTGTGAGAGAATGAGTGAAAGAGGCAAATAATTTCTTTTTTATGAAAACAGTTTTGACCTCACAGACACACTCAATGGGTATTGGAGACCTCCACACTTTACCACTCTTCTAAGGGATGGACCTAGCAATTAGAAAAATAAGGCTGTATCTGGGGGGTGGGGGGGCACTTATTTTAAAAAAACACAACTTACCTATAGCATAAATATTGTTTTTCATTAAGCTGGTGAAATGTTAGTTGGAGTATGATTTTTTTAAATTAACTTCACATTAATCATGGATTAGAATAAGTACTTACCTAGATTGAATTTTCACATTTCCAAATTTGATACAGCAGGAAGAAAGTAAAGAGAACATGGGATGGCATTTTAGAGGCAGTTCGTAGCACATTCTCTGATGCATATAACATATTTTTATCAAAATTCTTTTTACCTTAGAAAACCACAATGAATTGGAGGTTGATGGAGGAGCAGGGATGGATGAGAGAGGTTGTGCATGTACAGATAAGATATTATAGTTGAGAGGTTTGAAATCCAGGTAAAGATACTTACAAGCTTGTGTGAGAGCATATATCAGAATCCATGGAGTCAGAGAAGTGGGAGGCACATAAGGGAAGAGATAGAGTTTGGATGTGTTGTCCCCCCACAAAACTCATGTAGAAATCTGATCCCCAATGTGGCAGTGTTGGAAGCTGATTGAGTCATGGGGGCAGAACCCTCACGAGTAGATTAATACTCTCCCTGCGTGGGGGAGTAGTGAGTGAGTTCTTGCTCTATTAGTTCCCGCAAGAGCTGCTTGTTTATAGGACCCTGGCGCCTCAACTCTCTCTCTTGCTTCCTCTCGCCATGTGATCTGCTTGTACCCACCAGCTGCCTGTGCTTTCCACCATGAGTAGAGGCAGCCTGAGGCCCCCATCAGATGCAGCTGTCCCAGAATTGCAGCCTTAGTTCCCGCAAGAGCTGCTTGTTTATAGGACCCTGGCGCCTCAACTCTCTCTCTTGCTTCCTCTCGCCATGTGATCTGCTTGTACCCACCAGCTGCCTGTGCTTTCCACCATGAGTAGAGGCAGCCTGAGGCCCCCATCAGATGCAGCTGTCCCAGAATTGCAGCCTAATAAACCTCTGTTCTTTATAAATTACCCAGTCTCAGGTATTCTGTTACAGCAACACAAAAACAGACTAATACAGGATGGTAGGTAAGAGATTGGGCCTAGGGAAGCGGGTCTGAGAGGATTTAAAGGGCTAAAGCAGAGGGCCAGGTCTAGGGTGTTATGATGGATGAACAGGATAGAAGAGGACATCAGAATTGAGAGATCTCCTCAGCACAAGTGTCCAGCCAAGTCTCCACCAAGTTGGCAACAGCAACATTTTCTCAGAGACTCCTAAGTCCATCAGAGGGCGCTCTTCTTACACCGATTCCCTGTAAATTGAGCCACTTCTAAAATACCAGGTATAGAACAATACACTTCTAATACAAATCAAGCGACTTGGAAATACAAATAACCTAATAGAATTGACATGGATAAATACTGCATAAAAATAAAATGGTTTGTTTTAATTATGCTAATGTTATTGAGTTACCCCGATCCCAACTAATCGAGCATTCTCAAATGGTTAGACTTATATTTCACTGCACTCCACTTTGAGGAGAAAGGGGCAAAAGTAAAGCAAACTCATGTAAAGTGTTTGTTTTTTAAATCAGTGTAAGTGTAGCCTATTATCCATACATCTATTCAGCACATGTCTGGTACCTTCCATATCCAAGACACTCAGTAATTCATTGTGGGGATAAAAAATGAGTAAAACATCATAAGTGCCCATACAATACTATAATGCAAGGGCCATAGGGAAGTTTAGGGGAGGAAAGGAGCCACTCCTAATTGATAAAATAATAGTAATAATAGCTAATTATTGAGTTCTTATTACTGTGTATGCCAGAGCCTGTTCTCAAGGTTTTACTCCTACCATCTCATTCAACCTTCACAACAATCCTGAAAGACATGTATAATGATCCCTCTTGTAAAAAGGAGGAAAGAGAATAACTTGCCTGATGTCACACATCCAAAGAGAGAATCGAGACCTAGGTAGTCAGGCCCTAAAGCCGATGTGCTTAGCCACTGCCTCAAAAAGTCTTCCTAAAAGGGGTGATATTTGAGGTCGACCTTGAAGGGAAGTAAGGTTTAGACATGTAATCAGTTTCCACAACTGCAAAATGGGGATTAAGATCATATCTACTTCATAGGAATTTTGTGAGGATAAAATTAACTTTTTTAAAGTAACGTACTTAAAACAGTGGCTGGGAATAGTAAGCTATATATGGATATTAGCCATTATTATTGCTATTAATGTTATTAAACAATAATGACAGGAGAGGGCATCTGGACATAAGCAACAGCTGAGTCCAGTAGAAGGCTTCTTCCTAAATGCACTAGATTAGAGTGGCTGAGCCTGCTGAAATGCTCTATAGAGAAGAGGGTAGAAGGGAGAAGAAACAATTACGGGAAAATGTATCTTCTCCAGATGTTCCTTGAAATGGGTCTGGTCTCTGCACTTATCCATATCCCCTCCTACTAATATTGAGTTTGCATATTTTCTGTTCCATTAGGGTTCATTTGACCCATTACGGGCATACAATCTCAGTAGTCATGGGAAATGTAATGGCAAAAGGAAAAGACAGAGTGGAAGGCAATGCTAGTGCTGGGCTAGACAGCAGTATTGGCTGAATGGCAGGAAAAGCTGTGGTGTAAGGCAGTTTGCATGGCTCTGAGGAGGTGGTCTTCCCTCCTAGCCTAAAAAGGGGATGTCCACCATGCAAAGGTAACCATCTATGCTAAGTAGAGCAATTTACATAGATTGAACAGTACCTTTTTCAAGTCACTTGTGTCTTTTTATTATATTTTCTTCCTCTTCACATTGATTAAAAGCTTCTATTTCACTGGCGTATTCATCCATGGGAAGTTTCACAAGTGAAACTTATTTCTGAGTGAACTAATAAGAGAGGCTAGCAAGCAGGCAGAAGAAAGGACTGAAGAATATCCTTAGGGGTGTAAGGATATTAGCTGGAAGATTCTATTTCTGGAAGATTCAGCAGATCTGATTTGTAATCACTTCAGCTTCCTCTGCATAGAGGTCTCCCTTGGCAGGGACCTGTTAACTTGAGCCCAGCAGGTAGGACACCCTTCAGGGACTCAATCAGACTAGGTCTCCCAGGTGTCCCCCAGCTTCCACTGCATCTTTCAGGTCTGCCCACCATCATCTTCTAGGCTCACCTGCAGTGGCCTTAGCTGCTTATAAATTTACCAGAAATGAGTATTCCAAGCTAAGATGCCATGTTCTTACAGAAACATAAGTGAATTTATTGCTGCCATCAACATTTTGATGTCATAAGGGAATGTTTTTCTTCAAAACAGTATCGTGCTTACTATGGAGCATTTAAAGCTGTTGGCAAGAAGAACAGAACTTCTGAAGAAACAGATGACCTCCGAGCCTTGCGTTTCCTATCTGTGATTTCAATCGCGGACCCTTGGGTTTTCATCATTTTCAGAACTCCTTCATTTCGGATGTTTTTTCACAAGATTTTTGTAAGACCTCTGAAGTACAGAAATTGTCAGAGCAATCCCTGCCGAACTAACATGGAATCCAGTCTGTGACAGTGTTTTAGCCTCTGGTAAACTGAAGAATATGTCACATTTTCAAAGAACCATGATTAAAAGAAAATCTTACAACTTAAATTCTTAAAAGTTATCTCCCATAACAAAAGCATCTAATTGTATTTTCAAAAGTATTTGATATATATTAACAATGTGTTGCCACCCTATACTCGTGAACCATTTCAACGCAGTTTTTGTTTTGTATTATAAATAGCAACTAAAATTTCCTATATTGTAAACAATGTTAAAAGTCTTAAAACAATGATATTAATTGTCTTAATTGTCCCAACATTTGTACTTATTGCACTTGGTGTCTTTAATTTTTTAGAGAGGTCTTTAGGCCTCTCAATGGGTCTTTATTTAAATGTAGCAGAAACACTATTGTTTATAGGCATGTAAACATGTTCTTTAAAAGTATAACAACTTCTTATCCTATTCATTTCTAGTAAAAGCTGATTTGTTTATTGCATGTCATAACTGCTCCCATTTAGTTCTTTTCTTTGCCAATTGATCTAAGTATAGCCTGAATTATAGATGCTCCCCAGAAAAGTGAGGTGGGAAATCTGAGCAGGTCAGGCATTTGGAGGGTCCTTCCCCAGCTATCTGGGGGGCGTTCACTGCCTCATGTGAAGACTTTAAGCTAAAAATAGGCACTAGGCAAGAAGTGACTGACCCACAACTCGAAGAAGAAAACAAATATTTTTATCTTTTGAAGTCCAGTCTCTTGCATATTGAGGCACGGTGTCAGTAGGAATCAAAATTTGGGAGTGTGCTACAAAATGTTCTTTCAGTGTTAGGAATCTCCACTTTATAGGTTTATCATATTGATGGATTCTTTGGGGGAAGGGTTTATGCTTCTTCAAAAACCGGACATGTGCAACTTACCAAAGAGCCCTGTTCACTGTTTTGGCTGTGTGAAGCAGCAGGGCATCTGGCACAGCAAAAAGCCCACCTGGGACTTAATCACCCTCAGTTGAGGGTGATGGCAATGGCCTTAACATCTACCTTAACAGCTACCTATCACAGCCACATTCTGCTCTTTGTGAGACATTAAGATCTTATTGAGGTTTCCAAGAGCTTCACTTTCAAAAACGGGAGCAGGATGTAGCTCAGAAGAAGGGAGCAGGATGTAGCTCAGAAGAAGCACTTTAATCGCACATTTAAAAGTTTACAAAAGTTAGCAACATTATAACCTAAAGGGAAAAGTGGCAGAAACATGGCTGCAGCTAAATAGGAGACTACACACAGTTTGCAGGTAACAGCTTTCACCTTTGGTTAAAGAACAGATGGGGGGACTTGAGAGGAGTTTCAGCATCTCTAGAGTCTCTTTGTAGCCAGACACACTTGGACTCTGAGATGGAGAGTCCTGCTCCATTTGACTCATCTCAAGACCTCCAGCCGGCAATCCCTTCAGAGACAAGAGCATTTACCTTATTTCCAGCTTAGCAGCAACCTTTTTTTCACCTCTGGTTTTTCCGGTATCTCAGAGATGTTAACCTGGATACATATGTAATTTTTCATATGGCAAAACTGTGAAAAGCCAAATTAAAAATACAAGAAGTATAATTTGTGAGTATGACAGGATGAAAAAAATGCAGTTGTTTTCAGTTTAACTTTCATTTGTATATTTAATGTTTAAGTAAACTTGTGTTTTATTGTCAGAGGAAGTGCATCTTTTTTGTGCTCTCCTTTTGGAAGATGTACTATAATTGAAAAAGCCCCAGATGAATCAATAAATAATTTCATGATATGTTGCAGAGGGAATTACTTCTCTTCAAATAAAAGGAATGGGCTTGGCTTTGTTTTTTAGCAAGCAATATTTAATTCTCTAGTGGTTTCATAGTGTGAATTTTTGTATACTGTTCTATTAGCATTTATATTACTTTAAACAAGTTTTCATAGGTTTATCCAAGGACTTAGTGTTCCTCTTTGTTTTATACAAAAGGTAGCTATATCATCCTGATGAAATCCTTGTTGAGCTAAAGTCAATTCTTTCATGATCTTCATTGATTTACTCATTAATTCATTAAATAATTTCTCAGCACCTTGGTTAGGTGCTGAGAAAAAGAATAAATAGAACTCGGTTCTGGCCCATGAGTTGCTTGTTGTCCACTGGAGGAGACAGGAATGTAAACAGTTATAATACAGCATAGAAATTCTCCATAGTAAATGCACATACACAGTATTGTTAGAAGAGAAGGCCCGAACTAGGGGCAATGTGTAGGGTTGTCAGGAGGACTTCACAGAAGATGCTTAAGTATTGAAAATGAGTAGGAATTTTGACTCCGGTTGAAACTGAAAAGGACACAAAGAAATAGATCACATAAGAGAGAATACATGTGGTTAATAAATGTAGACAAATATCCAGCCCAATCAAAGAAATGTAAAAATAAAATCAAATTATCAAGGACCAAACAAAAAAGAATTATGACTCTCAGAGGTTATTGTAAAAGTAACATTCATGTTCCCCTGGTGAGTTTGTAAATTTGTACACCATTTCTAGCTGACGGTGTGTATCAAGAGCCTAAAGTGCTCTTTCCCATTGTTCCAGTAATTCCAATCTAGACTTCTCTCCCTGACAATAATCAAGGGACTGTCAGAATTGTGTGCAAAATTTTTCTTTGTGTTATTATTTATAATAGCAAAAAAAGAAAAAGACCAAAACAAGAGTCAAACAAACCCTTCAGATATATATTTATATATATATATCATATATAAGCATAAAAACATATGAAAATCATATAGCCATTAAAAAAAGATTTTTTTCAAATAATTTATAAACATTGAGAAGAAAGCTTACGATGTAATACAAAGTGAAAAAAACCATGATCTAAACTATTTTAAGGTATGATTCATAAATATATATGCATAGAAAATATGTTGAAAAAATAAATCAAGAATCAAAGTATGAACCACAGTTCCTTTTTTTAATGGACGTTTTCCCATAATTCTTTGTTTTTCCAAGTTTTAAAGTAGGTATGTATTTCTTTTACATGAAATTATTTTTTAAAAGTTTGAATAGAACAGGACCAAGCAAACGAAAAGAAAAGGCATGAAGGAAAATCTTTCTGGCGTAAAGGAATAATACCAGAGGTTTTCAAAAAGTCCATGGAAAGATTCGTGTTATCTTTTAATTCCATTTTTCCACGATCTGTTTGAAGTACCCTCGTACATGCAAAGGTTCGTAGGAATAAAGGAATGTGGCGTGTCCAGGCTTAGGCAGTAGCTCCATCTGGCGGAAGCTTGGGACTTAGCAAAAGTGGCAAGAGAAGAGAGCGCGGGAGTTTCACATCAGAAGGGCGTTGGGTGCAGTGGGGGAGGTTGGACCTCCGTGAGGGGAAGTCAGGACGAATGCTGGAAGCTTGGAAGCCAGGGAGCACTCCGAATGGAGTTGGGGGAAGATCGTGCTGGTGGACTGTGAATGTGGCGGGGGCACAGGAGAGGGTGGGATGGTCGCAACGGAGCCCGCGTGCAGTTGTGCAGTCCTGCACCAGGCTGGGGTGCCCTCCCGAGGAAGTAAGTGAGACTGAAATACAGCCCCGGGCCTGCTCACCTTGCTGTGCGCTGCATCAACTCAGAGAAAGGGCCCCCTTTTATGATCCTTCTACTTGGAGGGGGGCACAGAGACACCATATGTGCAGGCCCAGGGGTGCCCAGTAGCAGGGAGGGAGAAATGAATTGCATAGTTGTTTAGTAGGGAAAGCTGACAGGATTCCAATTTATGACTCAGCCATGCCTTTTGTTCTTTCAGTTGCATGTATCTGACCGTTTTCTGCTTCTTAGTTTCCATATACTCAGGAACAAGTTAGGAAAAAAAATTCTGAAAACACAGTTTTTCTACTTTTTTCCCCATATTCCCAGTTTACCTGGACAGAAGATTGCAGCTACTGATTCAAATGAAATTTCTGAGTTACCTGTGGACTTTAATTATACACTACCCAGCCATGTTAATAAAGGGACAACTATTAGGACTGTTGATTTGTTCCAAAGACCCATCAAAGGTTGACTTGGCCAGGTATTCCTGAAACCTTAGGGGAGAGAAAGAAGTCCCACAAACACCAAGCACTTGAAGGACCCCAGACACTCTAACATGCAGGCTCCTCCGTCTGCTCATTTAACTGAAGATCTCCATACTCCAGGACAGTACTTCTCACACCGTGGTCCCAGACAAGCAGCAGCATCACCTGGAAATTTTTAGAAATGCAAATTATCCTGTCCTGCTCCAAACTTACTGAATCAAAATCTCTGGGGGTGAGGCCAGCAATCTGTGCTTTAACATGCCCCCCAGATGGTTCTCATGCATATGAATGTTTGAGAACTTCTACTCCACACTCAGATAAATAAATAAAACTGAAGAAAAATACAAAAATAAAGAAAATATGCCATAGACTCCATTTACATTTCTCTGACCTCTGGTTATTACATCTTTTCAGTAGCCGGTAATAACTCACACCCGAACTCTGATGGCATTTTATCTGAGATGTTAAGGAAGTTACAGTATGTCGATACCTTCAAATACCAGCAGCTGTCACTGATTCTTTCCCATGGTCAAAGTTCTGAATTGCAGCGATGGTACCTGTCTCACTCACTTGGTCCGCGGAGGTAAAGATGCTCTATTAGATGTGCTGCTTATTTGGTCTCCTGTGGATGCTTATTGGGCCTAAGCCTGACAGTTGTTCCATTGCGGAAGAAAGCAAGCTAAAGAGCATTTATGCACAAAAACATGATCAGAGATTATATATAAAATGAGCTTTCATTAGGGATTTATTAATTTTTTTTTTTTTAGTTCTCTATACGATAGAAATCTCCATTAAAATATATAAAGCTACTTTTAAACTTTCATAATTTGACCTTTTTGTATATTTTTAGGAATACATTATATATTTTATTTTCCTTTCCAGGCATTAAAAGACTTGAAGACTAGAGAGTCACCTATTTTTTTTCTCATTTCCCCTAGAAATGACACATGTATTGTAGAAGGACTATAAATATACTGTACT